CTAGGGATCTCTAAGCAGAGAGGAGACAGCTCTCCAGCTCATTGTGATTGCTTTCCCTTTCTACTCATAGGAGTCCTCCCCACCTTGTGTGAGGGACTTACTGTACATCTGTGACAATATTTACTTGCGACATGAAATGCTTGCCATGGAAATGAGTATCCTGACAACCCTCAATTTTGACATCAACATTCCTAGCGCCTATCATTACCTGCGGAGATATGCTAAGGTAAGAGGGAGGAGGTGCGTCTTCATCCCCCACCTCTGACTTAGTCCACTCTTTTAGAAAGGTCTTCCTTTTCCATTGGTTCACCCCCCAGTGGCCGCTGCGGCCGGCACACTGCACCGATCCGAAGCCAGGAGCCAGGTGCTTCTCCTGGTCTCCCATGTGGGTGCAGGACCCAAAGACCTGGGCCATCCTCCACTGCACTCCCCGGCCACAGCAGAGAGCTGGACAGGAAGAGGAGCGACCGGGACAGAATCTGGCGCCCCGACTGGGACTAGAACCCGGGGTGCCGGTGCCGCAGGTGGAGGATTAGCCTATTGAACCGTGGCGACAGCCAAGGGTTGGCAATCTTTATAAAGTAGTGGGGTGCAGTGGGCAAGTTGTGGATTTCCAAGATATGCTTAATAAGGTGTTGAGGTGAGGGCAGAGTAGGGGAGTGGAAAAAGGTGCTTTGACTCAGAAAGGCCACGTGGGAAGGTTTTGGGGGATGCTGGCAATGTTCTGTTTGTCATTGCCTGAGTGTTAGTTAATGGGGAGTTCACTTTACAGTTATCCATTGTATCTTATAAGTGTGTTGTGGACCTTTTTGTATGTGTGTGTTATAGTTAATTATTTTTTTGAAGTTTAAACAAGAAAAGGTGGGTTGTTTTAGAGCATCTCCTAGGGGCCTTTGGCTCTTCAAAAGCCAGCTGCACAGAAGGGGAGGGAGCTAACATACTTGGTGATAATTTGGTTAGCAAGACTAACGGTAGTGAACCCCCTGTTGATTTTAGAATCTCACCCCCCACCGCACCCCTGCTGCACAAGAGTCTGTACTTCTACAGGGAAGGACCTTAGAGTGAATCATGGCAGCAGGAGAGCATGCTAGCTCTCTCAAACAGAGAACCATTAGGTCTGGGAGTGGGATAAATGGACAGGCAGTCTTCTGCTGGGTGCCGGTTTTCTGAATTAATTTTTGAACCAGTCTTCTTGCTGCCTTTAGTGTGTCCATGCCAGCATGACGACACTGACCTTGTCCCGCTTCATCTGTGAGATGACCCTGCAGAAGTATGACTACATCGAGGAGAAGGCTTCCAAGCTGGCAGCAGGTGCCTTCCTCCTCGCCCTCTACATGAAGAATCTCAGAGACCGGGTAAATGTGTGTGTGTGGGTGGGTGTGTGTGGGGGGGGGTGTGAGGAGGAGCAGGGTGGGTTTAAAAGCACAGGGTCAGCTCAGAAGGAAGGAGCAGGTATCAGTTATAGTTGTGGGGAGCTCTGACATGTCCACAGTTACGAATTGTTATATTTGGACACCTTAGGGGTATGGGTTTCTACAGCAATGATTTGAAATATATTATTTTGGTTTTCTTAGTCACAGGGTCCTTTGTTGCAAACAATAACAACAACAAAAACTACTTGAAAATCCAAGGTTACCAAACAGACTAATATGAAGTGATTCTGGCTGACACAGAGGTTGGGTAGCCCCACTTCTTATCCCTGGTACCCTGTGCCCTTATGCCTTGTAGACTCCTAGACAGATTGGCCCCTGAAGGAGCTCATTGCAACAGGGTTTGAACAGCTCTGACCTGGGTAATAGTGAAGCAGCTGTGTGCGTTCATCACAGAGCACTCAGGGTATGGACTATAGTGTTCTCTAAAGACAAAGGCCTGTATAGCCTTCTACCCAATACAAATAAAAGTCATATTCAATTCTTTTCTCAATTTTATGAAAATAGAAACCACTTGGAGGACTTTGAATTCTTTCTTTCTTTCTTTATTTGAAAGGCAGAGTTAGAGAGGCAGAGGAAGAGAGAGATGGAGGGAGGGAGGGAGAAAGAGGAGAGAGAGAGAGAAAGAGAAAGAGAGAAAGAGAAAGAGAGAGAAAGTGTCTTCTGTCCACTGGTTCATTCCCCAAATGGCCACAATGGCTAGCCAGAGCTTCGCTGACCTGAAGCCAGGAGCCTGGAGCTTCTTCCGGGTCTCCCATGTGAGTGCAGAGGCCCAAGAACTTGGGCCATCTTCTACTGCTTTCGCAGGCCATAGCAGAGAGCTGGATCGGAAGTGGAGCAACCAAGACTCAAACCGGTGCCCACATGGAATTCCAGTGCTGCAGGTGGCAGCTTTATCTTCTATGCCACAGTGCCAGCCCCTGAATTCTTGTTCATATGTACCATGCAATCCAAATAGAAGAAAGAAAGAACGCAGTAGCAAACACAGCTCCCTCTGCCCAACCACTCCTCAACTCCTCCTCCCTAGAAATCCTGGGGCCACTACTGCTGGGCAAACCTCTGTGTGCTGAAGGAAAAATATCACCTTGGATGAGTCATACTGAAATTTCTCGGAACAAAGGAAATGTCCCATAAATGGCAGTACTGATCATGAAAAAGAATAAAGAGCAAAGGGCTTCTATTTATCTAGTGCTTAGCAAGTGATCTGAGCATTAAATGTGTTAACTTGTTTAACCTTCACAGCAACTCCACAAAATTAAAATGATGAGGGTACCTCCAAAAGTTTGTGGAAATTGGAAGGTAAATATGTATATTTTGATACAGTACCTGTTTGAAATCCATGCATCGTGTCTTCATAACATATATTTTCCACAAACTTTTTTGAAGACTCTTATCCCAGTTATATAGATGAAATAGTTCCCATGTTTACATAGCTGATGAGAGGTGGGGTTAGGCTGTGGAAACTAGAAAGTTTTCAGAAACCTAACCTTGTTGTATAATCAGAGTGAGCGTGCCTATGGCACTGGAGCTATGGTCCTGGAGGTTCCACGCTGAGCTGAGGAAGTTCCACTCCCTGCAGAAGTCTGTAAGTCTTGTGGGTCTTAAGGGAAACAGCTGAGCTGGTCAGGGCAGCAAAGTGTGTGTCATCCAGGATAGAAATATTTCAGTATTCACACCTGGTGGTTAAGCCAGTGAGTATCAGCTAAAATGTCAGCTCTAATCTGCTCTATAGTCCTCTGTGTCATGTATCCCGCCTCTTCTAGAAGGGGGAACTTTGGAGCTGGATCTCAGAAAGACGATTAGGAACTTGAGAGAGGAGAAGCCCTAGGGAGAGGGAGCAGTAACTGCAAAGATGTGGAAGCCCTAAGGAAAGGAGCGAGATGTCTCCTGGGGCTCAAGCATGAGCCCCATGCTCATGAGCCTCATGCTCATCATGAAGTGGTAAGACATGAAGCCAGAATGGTAGGTTGTGCTCAGACTGGGAAGGCCTCATATGGCGCACCAAGAGATCCACTTTAGACTACGGTATGGATGGGCTTTTAGGCTGGGGAACTGACATACCCGGATTGTGTGTATGGGAAACAGTACTGGTTTTGCAGCAGAGCTGACACAGGCCTTCTTCAAAAAGTTCATGGAAAATGGAATGAAAAGATAAAGCTGTTTTTATGCAGAAGATTTTTGAAATCCATGCATATTTTTTATGATATGCCTTTTCCATGTGTTTTGTGGGAAAGTCTCATATCTTTGAGAGAGTATAAGGATAGTGGCATCAGTGAGCACTGAAGGCCCGAATGAATACAGTGGCAGTGGGGCCATTTGATCTTAAGCTAACACACCCAGTGGACTGTGCTAGCAACTGACTGCCCTGCCCTTTGTCCATGATGGTGGTCTCCAAACCCCATTCAGGGGAACCCTGGGTTTCCTATGGATGTGTCTCAGATACCACGTAAAAGGTAAAGGGACTCAAATTGTTAGACTTCTTAGCCCCCAGCCCCACTTCCAGGCAAGCTACTTGGGGGGAAAATGTGGTTCAGGAGAAAATAGTTTAAGGCATTTTTAGAAAGTTCCTGACTTATAGGATAAATACCCTTCTTTTTTTCTCTCCCACTTCACTTTCAACACCCAATAGCCCTTTCTCTGTGGTGAAGCGTTCTGTGACTCTCACAGATGCGTGGGTTCTGTGCTGTCTTCCTCTAGTGTCCATGCTCATTATCCATCATGCATATTTTGTAACTCTCATTTGCATGTCTGTCTCCTCCACTATGCTACAGACTCCTCCAGGGCAAGCGCTTTAGTCATCATTTGTCCCCAGCATCCTACACAGTAATATTACTCCTAGATATCATGTTAAGGGGCTATTGTTAGACTGTGTTCTATGTGTTCTATATAGACAGTTGGCCTTCTGTACCTGTGGGTTCCACATGTATGGTTTCTATCAGTCATGGATGGATAATATTTAGAAAAAAATTACATCTGTACTAAACATGTACAGATTTTTTCTTGTCATTACTCCATAAACAATACAGTATGACAACTATTTATATAACATTTACATTGTATTCAGTATTATAAGTAAGCAAGAGGTGATTTAAAGTATATAGCAGGATGGAGGTAGGTTATCGGCAAATGCTACACTATTTTATCTAAGGGGCTTGAATGTGGATTTTCGTATCCACAGGAAGTCCTGGAACCAATCCCTCATGGATGCTGGGGGATGACTGTAGATTAAGTTCTTTAATCTGATGGTGTAACTACTAAAAGGATCCCCATTTGGCAGATTGGGGAAACTGAGGCACCAGGAGGTTAAATAACTGGTTCAAGTCCATGCTGTTAGTAGAGCTGGAATTTGAACTGAAGCAGTCTGCAGAACCTCTGCTCTTAAGCATTATCCCATTGCTTCTGCTACATAATAGCATTCTGATAGTTGAGTGAGAAAATGAATGTATGGAATGATACCTGTTAGATCCTGAGAGAGAAGCAGTCTTAAGTTTCTGTTGGCTGTTGAGCTGGGACTACAGGTTTGTTCAGGGGTTTGTCTGGTTGTTGGACATGAACCTGAGCATAAGTAAATGACAGTTACTCCTGTTCTTTAGGCCGTTGGTGGATATTAGCTTACAGGAATACCTGTACCCAGGGATAATATCTAATTGGTACATATGAATATAGCCATCCCAGTGGTTTGGCTGGAATCCACTCTTCTACATAGTACTCTATAATCATTGATCACTGTACTGTTATGATTCTGAAATGTTTAGAATATTATCCTTGCCTAAGCCATGGATAGGAAGTTTAGACTTGGGAGAGCAGAGCTGGAGAAAAGGGTCTGCTTCCTATAGAAGTCACTGTTGATATTGCTTATTCCAGGTTCCTTCCTTAGAATTTTACAGTGGCTACACTATCTCTGAGCTGTACCCTTTGGTCAAGCAACTGAATGGCACTCTGACTCTCCATTTTCGCGACAAGCTCCGGACTGTGTATTCCAAGTATTCTCAGAGGTAAGTACCAAGGCTCGGTTTGGAGGTTGAGTTCATGTTCATCCATGAGAGAGCTTTCAAACACTAGGCCCAGGCTAGCCTCACTTAAGAGAGAAGGAGTCAGGGAATTTTCACCTTTCTTTCTATTCCATGGTAAAAGGGAGATAGGGAACCAAGGGTTCCATCTCCCACTTGTCCCCTGGAGCCGGTTTGGCTTTGGCCTGCTTTACACTGAGTGGACCTCTCTCCTTCCTTTTGCAGTGACTTCTTCAAAGTCTCCACAATCCCTCCCTTGGAAATATCGAAGCTGGAGGAGATTTTTAAAGGCTAATTGTGAGGTGGAGGGCCTGGTTTTCTGGCAGTAGCCACCAGGGCTGGACAGACACGTAACCAGGCTATATTTATTCTATCTGAATTTGTTTCTTAATCAGTTTTCCTTGTTTTCCCTCTATGTTTGTCTTCTCCTGAAGTTAAAAAAAAGTTATAAATATTTTATTAAATAGAAGAAATTATTGTTATATTTTATGAGCATAAAAAATAATAAAAAAAGAATGGTTACTGTTAACATGGCTCATTCCCTTTCTTGTGGCTCAGGAGCTCCACTCACAATCCAAGAAACTTCCTCCTGCCTTAGGAAAGGCTGTACCTTGGGGTCTAGCTTATCTAACTTTCTCCCATGTCCCGAGACCTCCTCCTCAAGGGGAGAAGAATTGAGATGAGTGGGAACTGATGGGTGCATCTGTAGGAGGTCCCTGAGAGTGGAAAAAAAAAAAACAAGGCAAAAAACCCCTACCTCTGAGGCAGGCCTCAGTGCTTAGGGCTGGTACAACTGGTAGTGTAGGCTAATACCCTTGGGTCCCAATCTCAGGTTGTTTGCTTCTTCCCAGGTGATGGTAAGGTAGGAATCAGGACTTTAACCCAAACACAGCTCTACTTTCATAGTTAGGTAGCGTTGTGGAGTCTAAATATTGTTAAAAATTGCTTGGAGTGATGTGCTGGCACTCTTTGTCTACCAAGAGAAGACCCTGCTGCCCAGGAAATCAGCAAGATGTCCCATGAATACAAGTACCAACCACTTGACCAATTTTAATTCCTAAAGCCTTAGGAGGTTCTGGCGTGATGTGCCTGGGACAGTTAGTGCAGATGCTAGTAGAGGAGTTGAACATCCTCTGTGCAAGTTGTTCAAGAGCTACTGCCTCAATCCTACCTCCACAGCCTACCCACAATTCAGCAAGTAATGTCTGCTACAGCAGAAAACACCCATTACTTTATTCTTTTTAAGATTTATTTATTTATTTGAGAGGCAGGGTTACGGACAGAAAGAGAGACAGAGAGGTCTTCCACCTGCTGGTTCACTCCCTAAATGGCTGCAATGACCGGAGCTGAGCTGATCCAAAGCCAGGAGCCAGGAGCTTCTTCTGGGTCTCCCCCATGGGTGCAGGGGCCCAAGCACTTGGGCCATCTTCTACTGCTTTCCCAGGCCATAAGCAGAGAGCTGGATCAGAAGTGGAGCAGCTGGACTCAAACCAGCACTCTGATATGGGATGCCCACATCATAGACCTCAGCTTCCTTAACCTGTTGTACCACAGCATTGGCCATCAATCTTCAGCCAAAACCTGTGGCTCTGGGCTCAGGCATTTGTCTACTTTCTGTTGACCATAGCTACCTGGATGTCACACAATTACCTCAAACTAAACATGTCCAAAGCTAAAATTTTCCTCCTGGTAGCCTAGTTTTATATTTTATATTTGTTATCTTGATCACCATCCACCTAGTTACCAAAACCAGACATTAGGGAGATTGTCTGGGCTCCCTTTACCCTCTACAACAACTGATCAGTCAGTCATATGACTTTTTTTAACCTCCCATCCCTAACTTTAAGCTTGACCACTCATATACTAGACTTAAATTTTCAATTATGGCCTTAGAGTGACTTCATTAAATTTTCCCTCCCAAATACTTGTTGAATTGATTTGTCATCATATCCTCTCCTACCACTGCCCAGGTTTGCTATCTAATCTATTGCCTGGGTTACTACAGTAGTTTCCTAAGTGATCTCCCTGTCGTTAATCTTGTTCCCTTCAAATTCCCCTTCCACATAACTACCAGATTGACTTATTTGTAATTCAACTTTAGGATTACAGTTCTGGGTAAGACAGTTAAGCATCTGTCACCATTTGTTTCCTATTAAACACTATCATTAAAATGATAGAATGCCTGGCGCAGCTATTTGAGAATTCTAAAAAGTAAATAACCAAGCAGATGGGATAAGATTACCAGAAGCTGAAGAAGTAACAAACGATGGTGGGTTTTCCACAGTTTTCCCCCTCTCTGAGGTTCACCAGGTTGAACTTAATCCAGTCATAAATCTCAAAGTAAACATTCTGGTATGATGGAAAGCTCCAGGAGATGCCCTCTAGGTACGGCTCGATCGAGATGTGGGAGGGAATTCCTAAAGCTCAGAGAAAGTAGGAGAATCTCTATTTTTTAACTTTCTTCTTTCACACCTCATCCTCCAGGAAGTCATGCAATAATGAAAGTGTTGGGAACCTTCAGGAACCAGGATTCTCAGGGCAGGGCTCCATAATGTCTGTTTGATAGAACTGTGACTGTGAGAGAGCAGAGAGCAAAGAACTGCACTGTTTTTTTTTTAATCTCTCTTTTGTCCTAACATTTGTCTGGAGATGTGGTGTAATTGCAGACGTGAACATTTCTGACTAGAGGACTGGAAGGGAAGCATCACGAACCAAGCAGTCCCAGGGAGGATGTACAAAGGTGAAAGCTCAGACAAATGGCCACATAGTGTCGTCATCTTTTTTTTTTAAGACTTATTTATTTATTTGAAAGTCAGAAATACACATAGAGAGAGGAGAGGCAGAGAGAGAGAGGTCTTCCATCCGCTGGTTCATTCCCCAATTGGCTGCAACGGCCGGAGCTGCACTGATCCAAAGCCAGGAGCCAGGAACTTCCTCCGGGTCTCCCACGGGGGTGCAGGGGCCCAAAGACTTGAGCCATCTTCTACTTCTCTCCCAGGCCACAGCAGAGAGCTGTATTGGAATAGGAGCAGCTGGAACTTGAACCGGCACCCATATGTGATGCCAACGCTTCAGGCCAGGACGTTAACCCACTGTGCCACAACACCGGCCCCCATTGTGTCTTCTTTAAAAAAAAAAAAAGTACTCCTGGGTACACATCCCCAACTGGTTTGTGTGTTGATCAGATAATAGATTAGCTTATCTAAAAATTGGAGAACTGAAATAACAGACATCCATCTAGGTTCCAGGCTGACAGCTTAGTGACACACATATACTCAACAGATCTAAATAATAAGGAAAAGACATTTTTTTTTTGGCAAAGACTTTAAAAACTGATCTGATGTTGAACCTCCAGGCCAGAGAAAGCATGTGGGAATTTTTGGCTTGAATGTAGTCAGATTGACTACTAAAATGAAACTATCAACATTTTAAATAAAATTTTAAGTAGGCTTAGGATCTTACAATGTCATATTGAAAACATCAATGATATACTCCAGAATTAATAGACATATGAAGAACTACAAGCATCTCAAACTTGTATTGTAAAAGACAATGAATAGGGGCCAGCACTGTGACACAGAGGGTTAACGCCCTGGCCTAAAGCGCTGGCATCCCATATGGGCACTGGTTTGAGACCCGGCTACTCCACTTCCAATCCAGCTCTCTGCTATGGCCTGGGAAAGAAGTGGAAGATGGCCCAAGTACTTGGGCCTCTGTACCCATGTGGGAGACCTAGAAGAAGCTCCTGGCTCCTGGCTTCAGATCGGTACAGCTCTGGCCATTGTGGCCAATTGGGGAGTGAACCAGCGGATGGAAGACCTCTCTCTCTCTGCCTCTCCCCTCTCTAACTCTGACTTTCAAATAAATAAATCTTAAAAATAGAAAAAAGACAATGAACAGGGGTGGGGATTTGGCCTAGCAGTTGAGCCATTGGTTGGGACAACTACAACCCATGTTTGGAGTGCCTGAGTTCAAGTTCCAGCTCTGCTCCTGATTCCAGCTTCCTGCTAATGCAGACACTGGGAGAGGGCAGATGATAGATCAAGTGGTTGGGTCTCTGAAACACACTTGGAGGTCTGTATTGAATTCTGGCTCCTGACTTTGGCTTGGCACATCCCCAGCCATTGTGGACATTTGGGGCATAAACCAGCATATGGGAGTTTTCTGTCTGTCTCTCAAATATATACACATATTTTTAAGGCAATTAACAGATATTAGGAGCAAGAGAACACAGGTTTTGGAATTATCCGACAAAGACATTAAATACACCTACCATAAAAACTCAGATGAATAAGGGCAGACACGCTTGGAACAAAAGTTAAAATATGAAGTCCCACTAAATGAATAGAAGATATTCAGAACCAAAAGGAAATTTTGGAATTGAAAACTACATAACTGAAATTAGAAACTCATTGGATGGACTCAATAGCAGAAGGGGATGACGGAGGAAAGGTTCAGTCAACTTGAAGGGACATAAATAGAAATTATGCAACATGAAAGAGGAAAAACTGGCAAAAATAAACAGTGCTTCATCAATTCATCTGATAATAACAAAACGTCTGTCAGTTGTTCTATTGGAGTTCTAGAAGCAGAGGAGGAAAAGAACAACTGAAAAAAATCTGAAGAAATGTATAAGTTTGATGAGAGATGTCATCCTATAGTTTAAAGAAAATGGGTGAACTTAGGATAAACTAAAATAAACCCACAGACAGATAAATCATAGTCAACTTGCTGCAAAAGAAGGAAAAAAATACCTTAAAAGCATGGGGTGGGCAATGCATTAAATAAAGGTGAATCACGACTTGAATGACTAGAGATTTCTTATCAGAAAATCTGATGAAGAAATAAAAGAACAAGGCCAGCGCCGTGGCTCACTTGGCTACCCGGGTTCTAGTCCTGGTTTGGGCGCCGATTCTGTCCAGGTTGCTCCTCTTCCAGTCCAGCTCTCTGCTGTGGCCTGGGAAGGCAGTGGAGGATGGCCCAAGTGCTTGGGCCCTGCACCCGCATGGGAGACCAGGAAGAAGCACCTGGCTCCTGGCTTCAGAGCAGCACAGTGTGCTGGCTGTGGCAGCCATTTTGGGGGGTGAACCAACGGAAGGAAGACCTTTCTCTCTGTCTCTCTCTCACTGTCTAACTCTGCCTGTCAAAAAAAAAAAAAATTGATTCTAAGTAGACTGTGGAAAGATTGTATTTTGTAATTTCTAAGGCAACTATTAAAAATTTTACAAAGGTATGTCAAAACCACAATGTGTAAATTATAATAGGAAAATAAAAAAATGTTCAAATAATTCAAAAGAAGACAAAGAAAAGGGACACAGAGGAATAAAAAAAGACCAACTTGAAAAAAATCATAAAATGGCAAACCTAAATCCATTCATATCAATAATTATATGAAATGGTATAAATATACCAATGAGAAGATAGATATTATCAGAACGGACTTTTATTTTTTTGACAGGCAGAGTTAGAGACAGAGAGGAAGGTCTTCCTTCCATTGGTTCACCCCCCAAATG